AGTTTAATTTTCATCACCGAATGTCCCCCAAATGTCCCATGGATGACCACCTCAAGATAAAAATTTGCGAAAAAATTACACTGGCTGATCGACCCTCTGGTCATTCGTCCGATCGACCGGTAATTTGATGAAATTATAAAACCCTCCGTTAAAGTACTTGATATTAAAAAAAAAAAATTATTCAAATTTAATTAAAAATTTAATGCACCGTGGGAGATACTGTAACAAAACTCAACAATCAAACTCGGTGAAGAACTTTCATAAGTGAAGAAATAATTAATTTTTGTCTTTGACAAAAATCAACCCACTGACCATCAACATAAAAATATACATGATTGGCTAACTGAATTGTCAAATATAACTTTTGTTTTCATATATTTCTCTAACCAATTACAAGAAAAACAAAAACAAAACAACACCATGATATTGGGCTAACAACCTCAAATGGCTTCGCTTGATAAGCATTTCAAAAGTCTATTCAAAAGTTTCATTTCAATCCAAGACAATGTGTCAGTTTGGACATGCTAAAAAACTATTCGATCAAGTGGAGTTTTGTATCCCAATCATTGCCTTGGAGAAGGATTTTTTTTTTCAATTAGCTACAAAAAATTATATTTTTAAAAATATATATTATGTTTAACCAACATAATCTAAATATTTAAAAAAAAAAAAGAGTCAAATATATTCTCTAAGTGTTGAGACGTGTTAAACAAATATAAGGTGAATGATCTCTTCCAGTCTAAATTTTAAATTGGAAGGCATTGTTTGGGTCTGTAGGGTCCAATAAGGCCCCTATTTCGATAATTCAAATCGTTTATTTTGTTAGGTACTTTGTGTATTTCATTCACATAAAAAATTAAGTCGATTTGATAATTGTAACTTATTCAATTTATTACATTTGTTATCCAAAAATATATGATTTATTTTTAAAAATACAAATATCTTCTTTTTTTTTTTTTTTGGTGACAAGTGCGATAAATTGAATAGGTACGATTATTAATTGATCTAATTTTTTGTGCAAATGAAATACATGAAGTACTTAACAAAATGAACCGTTTGAATAATCAAAATGAGAATCGTGTTAGGCCCCACTTATCCCAACAACGCCCTCCAGTGTAAATGAGATGATTCGGTAAAAAAATTATTTCTTTTTCTTATCTCTTTTAATAATAACAGTGTGTCATTGTTAATTTTTATCTATACATATTATGATCTTCTCTATTACATATTTGTAATGAAGAAATTTCATTACATCATCCAAGGAGTGAGTAATAATACTTTTTTTAAATTTAAAATGATTAAAAAATATATTCTTATTTCATAACTATTAAATATATAATGGAATAAAAATCTTCCATCATATGAATGAAATGAAAAGAATCAAAATTTTTATTTTATAATCATTAAATATATAATAAAAATCTTTACAATGAGTTGGGATGATATATTTTCGGTGATTTTGAGATAAAAAATATTAGAAATCTTAAAAATTTTATCAAATATTTTAAATAAAATCTACATAATATAAATCTTATATCTATATAAAATATTTAATAAAAATTTTAATAGAATTTTTAAATCTCTAAACATTACTCTTTTACAATGTCTGATCAGAAGACATCAAGGAGTATATCATGGGCAAAGACAAATGTGGATGATGATACCACAAGAGTTGCTTGCTTATTTGCACCTCCACTACAGAAACACCAAAACACACCTTACCCTTATCAACAATCAATCTCATACATACATACCCATCTCTCTCTCTCTCTCTCCCTCTCTCCACATCATGATCATCAGTGCTTGATGAAGCTTTTTATATACTCAGAAGCTGTCTCTGCAATTGTCTCTCTCTTTTTTCTAGGTCTTGTCTGTCTTTGATAGTATCTGACGACCCTCCAGAAACTGTTTTTGTTTGCTTCTCCAAACAATGGCAAACAACAGTTTCTGAATCAAAATATCATCCTTCTCAATCTTTATCTGTACACCCCTCTGCTCCCTTTCCTTTTCTTTTTCCTTTTCTCTCATCACTATTCTTTGTCTTCTTCTCTCTCTCTCTCTATACATATATGTGCATTTACTTACTGGGTTTAGTCAAAGTTGCACCGGTAGGGAGACAATTATATGACACCCTCTTAAATTTCTCAGGTGTCTTACATCACACAATCAAAACTTCCTGTTTCATATAATGCATTTCTAGGTATACGATTGTGCCGATATTTTTATATTTTAAAATTTTTATTACATTATATAAATTATGTTTAAATATGCATAAATATTATATAAATTATGTTTAAATATGCATAAATTACTTATATAAATAGAACACAAAAGATGGACATAATTTTTTAGAAGTGAATCTGTTAATAAATTTTATAAAATCTTATTAATTCATTTATATTTATTTTTGTATATAATTGTTAAAGTATATTAAGTACGCACACCCAAAAAAACAAATAATAGCTGGATACGTAGCTACTTTTTTTTTGTACCGCCCTTGCAGAGATTATCAGGGTATCTTGTTAGCCGTTTCGAGTCGCACAACGGGAGAGCATTGAACCCACACCAAGTGCTAATTAGGCAACTTGAGGTCCAATCTCCTAACCAATTCGCCCAGGAGATTAGCTCAAGAGGAAAAGAATTGAACGTGTGACCTTAGTACTTAAACCTCAAACCTTAACCAAAATACCACCCTGGGTTAACGTAGCTACTTTACTTACTGCATACACCAAAATGGTAGTACTGCAAGTAAAGTTTAGAATTGAGAAATCTGATTGGTCTACCCATCTCAATCCCATGATTAAAAGTAAACCATGGATAAAGAAACACACAAAAACACATGTGAATCCCACATGATATATATAGGCTTTGTTGGTATAATTTATAGAACTGTTTATAACTTTTATTTTATTTTTTAATAATTTTAAAATTTTGTGTTAAAATATTTAGTAAAACTTATACTTATAACAGGTATTTATTTATAAATTTCTTTTCACATATTTATATTTTATTTAGTTCAAATTATTTTCTTACATTCTAATAACTCTTATAGGTGATATAGTTATTAAAATACTTCTAATAATAATAGGGTAAAGCGCGATTAATATTTACATTGACAGTGTAAATGTTTCATTATATGAATATTTATACTGTCAAATTACTTAATGTGAAAGTTCATATTACCAAGTTGCTAAGGGTTCAAAAAATATTTGTAAAGAAAAAATTATCCATAAAATACTTTAAATATGAAAATTAAGATTTGATAGATTAAATGTCTAAAATAATAAAACTTATTGAAATATAAAAATAATTTATGAACCAACTAGAATACAAGTATTTGAAAGAATATATTCTAATAAATTTCCCTACTTATACCTGTTGAATCAAAATAATTTAAAACAAACTTGCTTTTTAAAAAGTTAAGAAAAAACATATTTTCAACTTTTACCTTTTAATTGATAAGAAACCATACCAAATAGACCCATAGTCTCTAAACCCCCCCCATAAATTTCATCAATCAAACAGGCCTTAACATTACTAGTGCTATCACTCATAGGAACAGTTAAATTTCATCGTGCATTGTCTTGTGAAGATAGTTTTCTCTTTCCATCTTCACATTCCAATAGACTATTGACTGTTATATTGGTCTTTTCAAAGCACTCATTGCTGTGCTTTAATTTGAGTAATTAACTTAAGAAAATAATCTTGCACTTAGTAGTGGGTCCCAAATTTCTTCAGAAAGGTTTTTCACAGATCAGTTAACTTTATGAAGGAGTTTACACATGGGGTAATCACTATAAAACATAGTTTAACCAGATTATAATGTAAAGATTGATTCTTAATTCTAAACTAGAATATAGGATATGTAAAGCTGGCTTGCTTTTCCCTGAAAATAATAGAAAAAAGAAAAGGCAATGGAATCCCAAATGGGATTGGCTTCGCTTTCCGTTTTAGTACATATCAGTCCATGAGAGATCTGTGGGCAGAATTTCTGGCTGGAAATATGAGCACAGTGCCAACAAAATGTCACCAATTTTCAAAAAATAAACCATCCCAAGACCATCGTATTGAAAAAAATAATCAAAATTTGAATTTAAGATGCAATTTTAAATTTAAGTGTGGCCAAACTACATTCGAAATGAATTTGATTTAGACATTTCAAATTTAGAAAATATTTTGAAATTTTTTTGTTGCCAAATATCATATGAAAATCTCGAGTTACATGAATCTTAAAACATAATTCAAACCAGAATAAATTGAGTAGTAGGAATGCTTTTGGCACTTTTGATCCTTGGAATGTGTGAATATCTTGTGTTACAAAATCATATAAAAATTTAAGATGAATTCAAGACATATTCAATAGTTAGGACTATATTAAAATAGAGATTAAAGAAATTTTGATATACTTTTAGTATACTTTTGACAAATTGTTCATCATTTTCAAATCTAACAATTCCCTTGCTTCAATACTCTTCTAATCATTGAATTATATAAAAATCTTAAATCATGTGATTTAATGGTTGATCAATTATTAAGATAGAGATAGAGAAATTTAGAAACAGACCATGCAGTTTCACTTCAATTTTTTTAGGCATTTAAGTAGAATAAAAAATAAATAAAGATAAAAACAAAGGTTGCGTTTGGTAGAGTTTTGTAAATATGATTTGAATAAAAATCTTAAATCATGTGATTTAATGGTTGATCAATTATTAAGATAGAGATAGAGAAATTTAGAAACAGACCATGCAGTTTCACTTCAATTTTTTTAGGCATTTAAGTAGAATAAAAAATAAATAAAGATAAAAACAAAGTCTTCCTTGAAACAGGAACTTTTGTACATGGCTAAATTTGAAGTCCTACTCATGCTAAACAAAGGTAACGAAAAAAAAAAAAAAAAATTGAAAAACACCAAGAACAACAGTTGAAAAAAAAAATAATAATAACAAAACAAAGATGGGTTAACCTAGAAGGGTAAGTTTTTTTTGTTCTTCTTCTCCCTAAGATGATAACACAAACAGTTGTTCGTGTTTTTTTTTTTTTTGTGGTGGGGGACATCCAATGAAACTACCAAAGACTGAACAGTTGAACAAACAAAGCCCTGTAATCCATCAATTTTAGTTGCTCCATTGCTTGACACCCGGTACCCATTTGGGACATTTCGGACTCAAATAGCTGGACACAATCCTGGAGCTCAATAGCTCGACAATGGGGGCAAACTTGACGCACCTTGGTGTCTTGTACTGGTTAATCGAAGCACCTAAGCTAATCGCATAGTCCATGAGCCTGTCAAACGTTCCTGTCTCCACAATCTTGATCTCCAGAGGCCCAATCGACTTGTCCGAGACACGTCCTTGCCTGTACACACTGTTGAGCGACTCTTCAATGGCGAGACAACAATCCTCAAACACCGATGGTGGAATTGGGGTTGACCCATTAACGTTAAGCTCCCAGAAAAGCACGTAGTGTCCTGGGATTGTCGAAGTGTCGGCATAGCTCGTGTACTCTGTTAAAATCGCGTCGAATGGCATCAAATGGTTCACGGCGTTCTTGACTGCGTTTTGAAGCTCCACCTCGTCTGTCTTGTCCGAATCAATGCTCAGAACAACGTTTTTTCTGCAGATGAAGTTGAATTGGGGTGCCTTGTTCTTGAATCCCGCCACTCGAAGCACGTCCCCGACACGGTAACGATAAAGCCCTGACAAAAAAAAAAAAAAAAAAAAAAAAAAAAAAAACTCGCTAAATTGAAAACCCGAGACATATATATATGTATTCTTAAGACCTAAATTGTAGAGCAATAATTTTAATTTTGGGTTCAAAATTTTTACCTGCATAAGTGGTAACAACAAGCTCATACTCTTGGCCTAGCTTGACATCGACAAGATCGACCAATTCTTGCTGTTCCCTCTCATTGAGGGATTTGGGCATGGTGATTGAATTGGTGACACCATTGTTTCTGTGAACAGGCAAGAACTCGAAATAGGCCATGTTGGGAATGAGGGTATAAGAGACTTCACTGGGCTTGCAAAGAGGGTTGAGATTGACACCAAAGTAACACTCAGAGGAACCATACATGGTGCACACAAGAGGCAAGCCATTGCTATAGTAGTCAAGAGTGGGTATGTACTGTGACATAGTCCCAGTCACAATCACATCCACATACTTGGTGTTAGGCCACAACCTAGTAATAATCCCTTGCCATGACTCTCTCCCACATTCAGCCTCAACAAAATCCGCGAACTTGGTGTTCGGTTCGAGGATTTTCATCACGGCCTCCCTCACCGTCGGATCCGTAATTTGGGGATTTAGGGTCCCGGTTCGGATATCCGCGCAGAGGAGGGGCCAGTGCTTTTCGAGGAATCGGATTGCGCGAATGAACCCGGAGGCGAAGACCGCTCCGACCCGGAGGACTTCCTTGTGTTGGCAAAGGCCACAGAGCATTTGGGAGTACATGCTTTGGTAAGAGTCTGGGCAGAGAATGGTCTCATTTGGGCTAGTGTAGTTAGTATATGGGTCATAAGGCCTGTCCTTGAAATGGGCACTTTTGTAGTAGCTAGTCAAAACAGGACGAGCCACTAGTCCCCCAGGGGTCTTAGCCTCTGATTTTATGAACAAGAAGTACATTCCTTTGCCTTTGTCTAAACCAGGAACAAACTGGTTCATCACAGGCATCAAAAGCCCGTACATCAATGATCTCCTCCCAAGCTCTTCCTCAATGGTAGGCATCAATTTCCTCTCTCCACCAGACGTCCCAGAGCTACAAAACAAACAAAACCCATTTAGCAAAAACTATCTAAAAACCCAAAAAACACGAAAAAAAATTACTCAAGTCGAATACCTTGTGAGGAATTCAGAAATGGGTTGTGAGCAGAGGATTGGGGACATATCGCCATTGGCGATGCGAGTGATATCGGCCTGTATGTCCTCGTATTTGATGACGGGCATGAGTTTCTTGAAGGTTTCGCGATCGGTGTAGCCAGCGAGGCCGTGCCGCTGCAAGTACTCGACGCCAGCGTTGCGAGAGAGGATATCGGCGAGGAGTCGCTTCTGGACTTCGTCGGCGTTGGAAGTCACATCTTCGATGAACTGAAGAGCCTTCTTGTTTTTCTCTGAAGGAGTATAGTCCGTGCCACTAGGTGATTGTTTTGGAGCTTCCGGCATGGTTAGTTTCTTTCTTTTGCAGAGAGAGAGTTTGTTAGAGAGAGAGAGAGAGATTTGGGTGTGGAGGAGAGGGAGAGAAAGGGAGGGCTTTATATAGAGGGAGGAGGGAGAGGAAGGCGGTGTGGGTCTGTGGTCTAACTTTGAAGGATTTTTAAAAGTGCCAACAAAGTAGTAACAAGCACGGGTGTTCCAAAAAAAAAAAAAAAAAGTAGTAACAAGCAAGTACTAAGAATGACCACCGGGAGTCGTAGCCTGGTGGTGAAGGCAGGTCATTTACCATGAGTGAGGTTGTTTTGATTTTTGGGTGTAAATATATTAGGTTATTCAATTAGTTTTTTATATGAAGATCTCGTGATATATTTTGATCAATATTCAATCTCCTCTAAAGTGTATGGCTGAATTCTATTAGTATTTCAGTGGTAAATCTCTTTATGAATTGGATTAAATCATATTGACAATCAATATATGGCTGAGTTCTATTAGTGCTTCGAAGCATGTGGCGGAGTTCTATTAGTGTTTCGATAGTTGATCCCTTCTTATAAATTAGGTTGAGTTAGGTTAAAGCAAGTCGACAAGCAACGTGTGTTTGAGTTTTATTTACTTTGCTTGGTTCTCATTTTTTAAAAACAGTTTTCAGAAAATTCTACATTCTTATTTTTTGTATTTTTTTGTTTTTACCGAATTTTTTTAATATTTTATGCAATTTTTTTACTTTTTAGACACACCTAACATAAATACACCTAAAAAGTAAAAAAAAATTGTAAAAAAAAATCTTTTAAAAATTCACTAAATACCAAAAATATAAAAAAAAATACAAGAATATATCCAATTAATATAGATCCTATTACCTTAGGTCTAAAAGTGAAAAATCAAAATAAAAAATGATATTATATATTACATTGGTGTTTACTTTTAGAATAATACATGACACTTTTAAAATATAATATTTAAATCTATTCACAATGATTTGGCAAATTATGAGGTCTTAATTAGTTGATTTTTACGTAAATCATCAATTGACAAATGACAATATACGTTAATGAGTGTTTTAAAAATGTTAATTAGCATTACCATCATGTATATTTTTTAAAGATTTTATGATCTAAAATGTCTCTCTTCCACTCGACACCCGAAAGAAAAAAAAAGAACTGTCTCCAGTTCCATTCATATTTACTACACATTTTCTCCCTGCAACACATTAGAAACTTCTATTTTTGAGTCCTCTTGTACATTCAAATCAATTTCATTTTCACATTAACAAATATACAATTGTATCTTTACCTCTGCTATGTAGGAGTGTAAATAAATAATCAAAAATTAACTTTTAAAATTAAATAATAATCTAAAAAATTTATCTACAATATTTAATAAAAATAATTTAGAATCAATTAAAATTTATTTATTTTTATCACAGTTACATATAAGAGATTTTTTTTTATTCTTATGTCATTAATTGTGTGCTCTAAGTTCTTAATAACAAACACATATCATAATTCAATTGGCAAAAATTAAAAAATAAATCACAAAAATTATATTTATGATAAAATATAAATACATTTCATCTTATGAGTTTCATAAATTTAATTTATCATATGATAGTAGTAAATTATATTTGTCAATATATTAATTTTTTCATATTTTGTAAAGTCTAAAAATTTGTCTAGCATCAAGATTATAATTTATCTTATGTTATAAGATTTATGTAAAAATAGATTAGGATTCACTTGTTGAGAGGGTGATTTATGATCTGGAGTTGAGCCGAGGTAACGGCCGAGCAGGTTGAGAGCCCAACTGTGCATGGGGCCGAGATGATCGACTATCAGCCCAGAGATGGGCCGCCAGAACTTGGGCCGGGCAGAACTTGGGACGAGTGTGTGCCGCCCCAGACCGTAAGGAAGCTGCTCGGCAAGGCAGTGCTCGGTCGGACCGAGCTGCTCGATCAGGGGATGGCCGAAGCCAGACAAGCTGAGTGACCGGCGCCCGGAAAGGCGTGGACAGTGGAGGTAACTGTTTGACCGGCAGAAAGGCCGACCACCGGAGGTGCCTCGGGCTAAGCTTTGCCGAGATGCCGCCTAGCCCGGTCCTCCTTGGTCCTAGCCGGCGAAGTGCTTGGGTATGAAGCACGGCGCGGCACAGCAACGGATAGGGCAGCTCGGCTGCCGAGCTCCTGCTGAGTAGGCAGGCAGTTGAGATTAGGTGATGATCGGCAAGGTTTATGCTGACAGATGGGATAGCGGAGCCACGTGTCAGGAGAAGACTGGGAGTGGATATGGGGCGCAGAGGGTATATAAGCATGTCTGCGCCCCCCATACGCGACGGATGAACACTTTGTAAGGAATTTCTTACACTCAAACACCTCCTTCCCTCTTTCTCTCTATCTCAAGGTGTGTGCTAACTTGATCGTTAGAGGGTTTTTCCGGCCACACACCGCCGGGTAGCTTACCATTGTTTGCGCGCAGGTGATCGGACATAAACGGAGCACGGAAGAACGGAGTACGGGCTTGCCGGAATATTTGCTCCCCGTACAATTGGCGCCGTCTGTGGGAAAAACCCTGACAGACAAAACCTTGTCTTCCAGGTTCATCTGATCGCCGTCCATGGCGAACAACGACGAGTTTCCGTTGTCTGCCATAGATGGAGCTACCCCGGAGTTCACCCGAAGGAGAGAGGGTCCTCCCGCCATCCATCCAATGGTGGACTTGGGGACGCCCACTGGGGGACAGTCGGTAGACGCGCGGGATAAGCGCGAAAGAAGTCATGGTCATTCGCGGAGTCCAGACGGTCACCGGCGGAGGAGAGACTCACACGCCAGGCGACTGGAAAGCAAGTTGAGGGACCAAGACGCTGTCATCCGGCGAATGGCGGCGGAGATGGAGGACTTGAAGCGGCATGTCAAAGGGAAAGGTGTAGCTGGAGTGGGAGACCACAGTGAGCGCACCCCATCCCGCCGTTCAGGCAGACAGAGTCAGCGACGAACACAGTCCATATCAATTACCAGAGGTTACCAGGTTGGTGATTTCGACGCGGGTGCAGAGAAGTCAAGCGCGCATGACAGCACCTACAAACCCTCACGTCCGGAGACGACGTCGAGGTATTCTTTCTCCGCTCATTCAGAGGATTTGCAGGCAGTCCTAAAGGAGCGGACTCGCCGGCGCGAAGCCCAGAGAATACCGGCGTTCCAGCGGTTATCCTATGGGGTTCACGCCAGCGAGGAGGTCGGAATGCCTCCACCCCGCCAAGCAGTGCCACTCTATGAAGATACGGACTTGGTCAGGCTGAGCGCCACCCCTTTCTCCCTGGAAATATAAACAACACCGCTTCCGGCGGGCTTCCACCAGCCTAAGTTCACACTCTATGATGGAAAAACCGATCCCTACATACATATGAGCCACTTCCGACAGGTTATGGCCGGACATAGGCGAAACGACGGACTTATGTGCCTAATCTTCCCGTCAAGTTTAGGCGAGCTGGGCTTAAAGTGGTTCGAGAGGTTGCCGGAAGGGAGCATACAGAGGTGGCACCAGTTGGCCGAGGCGTTTGTTACACGCTTCAAAACCAACACGAAAACACCAAAGGAAGTCGATCACTTGCTAAGTGTCAAGATGGAACCGTGCGACACACTGAAGGCATACAACTCAAGGTACTGGGAAACCTTCAACGAAATCTTGGACTGCCCGGTCAACCTTGCAATCACGCAATACAAGCGTGGTATCCCGGTCGGACATAGACTGCGGGACTCGCTTACTATGCACCAGCCGACCTCCATGGGTCAGCTCATGCAGCGCATCAATGAACATATCCGCGTAGAGGATGACGCGACAGCTTCTACCGCGAAGGCCACTCCGGTAGCAACAGACAAGAAGACAGCAGGCAAAGTGCATGCAGTTGGGCAAGAGCCCAGCCGCTCAAGTGACCGAGCTGAGGAATCGGACCGTGGTTCGAACCGTAAAAACCGGGGTAGAGGACGTCGGAATGACCGGGATGACTACCCCCGAGATGACATAGCAGACGCAAACAGAAGGATGAAGGCGAGGACCGGCATCACCACAATCTTCAAGATTCCAATTTATCGCATACTTAGTGAAATCCGAGACGAGGAGTATGTCCGGTTTCCTGCTAAGTTGGGCGATGGACAGAAGGGCTACAATCCGCGGTATCGTTGCACATTCCACGGGAGAAGGGCCACCGAATAGAGGATTATTTTCCATTGTGGCAACACTTAGAAGAGCTGGTCGCGGCCGGGCATTTAGATCTTTACATTGACGGCGGCGTAAAGCCGAATCAGGCTCCAGTCGATCCCAGGGGACAGGATGACCAAGACGCACCACCACAAGGAATCATTAACGTCATCCACGGCATCGTAGAGCCGGAGCGTGTCTGCGAACTCCGGGGAATGATAAAAAAGGCAGAACATATGCGGAAAGTTTTGTCGGTACAGCCTGCCATAAAAAGGGGGAAGACAGAAGAAAAAGACGTGATTAGTTTCACATCAAGGGATCTAGAGCGTATCCAGACGCTGCACAACGATGCCCTAGTAGTAACACTACGCGTCAAAGAATTCGATGTTAGACGGATCTTGATCGATCAGGGAAGCTCGGTCGAGATCATGTATTATGATGCGTTCAAGCAACTCAAACTCTGTGAGACAGACTTGGCTCCGGCGACTTCGCCACTGGTTGGATTTAACTCGCAACCGGAGTGGCCCTTGGGAAAGATTATCCTGCCGGTTAAAGCGGGATCCGTGGTCAAGCAAGTGGAGTTTTGGGTGCTGCAAGTGCCTTCGACCTACAACCTTATTCTTGGGAGGGGATGGCTCCATGCAATGCAGGCTGTAGCATCGACTTTCCACCAAGTAATGAGATTCCCCTCGGCTATGGGGGCAATTGAGGAGATTTGGGGTGATCAAGTCATGTCCAAACAGTGCTTCGTGGCGGTCAACGGAAGCCAGGCTGCCAAAGGATTCGTTCAAATGATTGAGGGACCAGAGGACCAGGGTGTCTTGGATGATGTGGGCACCAAGGCCGAGGATAAAGCTATCGAAGAATTGGTGGAAGTGCGAATAGATACAGAGCGGCCGGACAAGTTCTTCTTGCTCGGCT